CCGGAACATGGAATCAGCATTAGGAACGTCTTGGTTGGGTAAGTTTTATTTTTATTTCTTTTTATTATTATTTTTTTAATTTTTTTTCTTCATTTTTTTTTTTTTCTTTTTTTTTTTTGTTATTTTTTTTGGTATTTTTTTTTTATTAGTTTATCTATTCATTAGCAATTACTATTTTTTTCTACAAGCCTTTTTTTTCTTGAAACCGGGATCAGCATGGAGATTAATTTGTTTGTACTTTTCTTTGTTACATTTTTGTGTTTTTTTCTTTTATTACGCTTTTTTTTTCTTATTGCTTTTGGTACTAATGCTTTTTTTTTCCCTACAGGTCTTTTTGAACTCAAGCTTGGTTTGGTTAGTATTAGTATAGGTAATTTTTTTTTTTGATTGTCTTGATACTAATTTTTTTTTTTTGAATTTCAGCTGATCATTTCCTTTTTTTTGTTAGTATTACGATGCTAATCAGATGATAAGTATCATACTTTTTTTTCTTTTTTTTTTCTTGCTTTATTATTCACTTTCAGTAGTTCTAAAGGATTTGAGTTATCTGCATTGGATAAATGATCATCGGTGATAATCTTTTTTTTAACTGCTCTTCGGTACTTTTTTTAGATAAGCATCATTCGGGTTGTTTTGTTTCAGTTGTGAATAGTAGATTTTGTCCTTACAAGTAATGAGTTTTACAGATTTTGTCATCATTGTTTATGTTGCCGGCAGTAGACTTTGTTGTCAGTAGGTTTCGTTTTAGACCGAATAAGTCTTGCTTCTTTTTTTTTAATTTTATTCATTTTGCCAATTCTATTCATTCTTTTCTCTTCTTTAGGTTCAAGTAGGTTTCACCAGAAATGGAATCAGTACCAGGAAGTTCTTGGATTAGATAAGTCTTATTTCTTATATTTATTTATTTATTTATTCACTTCATTAACTCCATTCTTTCTTTTCTCTTCTTTAGGTTCAAGTAGATTTCGACTAAACATGGAATCAGGACCAAGAACATCTTGGTTTGGTAAGTTTGTTTTTTTTTCTCCTTTTTCTTCATTTTCATTTGTTTTTTTTTTTCCTTGATATTTCACTAAATTCATTATTTTTTCTGGGTTCAAGTAGATTTTGCCAGAATATGGATTTGGGCATGCTATTAAAATATTTAATGTTGGAAATTGTTATCTTTATAGAGTTGGAGTTGAAAAGGATGAATATAAAATATTTATTTATTATCAAAAAGCTGATGATATGGGAGATATGCTAGGAACATATAATCTTGGAAGTTGTTATCTGTATAGAACCGAAGAAGAAATAAATTTGAAAAGCCTTTAAACTATATCCTAAATTAAATAGAATGAGTATAGAAAACATTTTGATTTGAATTGAGTAGGTTTTTTTTCTTTTTTTTTTTGTTATTTCGCTAACTTTATTTTTTTTTTATCTTTAGATTCAAGTTTGCTTCACCGGAACATGGAATCAGCATTAGGAACGTCTTGGTTGGGTAAGTTTTATTTTTATTTCTTTTTATTATTATTTTTTTCATTTTTTTTTGTTATTTCATTCTTTTTTTTTTTTAAAATTCAAGTAGGTTTTGCTGAAACATAGAACATATTGGATTGGGTAAGTTTTGTTTCTTTTATTTTTTATTTTTTTTTTGTTATTCAGATCATTAACACTATTTATTCTTTTCTCTTTGGTTCAAATAGATTTTACCAAAATATAGAATCAGTATTAGAAAAGTCTTGACTTGGTAAGTTACTTTTTTTTCATTTTTTTGATTTTTTTTTGTTATTCATTTCACTAATTTAATTTATTTTTTTTTTCCTTTATACTTTGCCAGAACGTAGATTCAGTGTCGAGAACATCTTGGATAAATTTTGTTTTCTTTTTTTTTCCTTTTTTTTTTTGTCTCACTTTACTGGCTTTATTCTTTTTTTTTTTTTTTAGCTCAAATAGGTTTCACCAGAATGTTGGAATCAGTATCGAGAATGTCTTAGTAAATTTTGTTTATTTTTTTTATTTTTTATTTTTTTTGTTTTTCACTTCACTAATTTCATTCTTTTCATTCTTTTTTTTTCTTTTAGGTTTCGCCAGAATATAAATTCAGTATTAGGAACGTTTTATGTCTTGGTTAGATAAGTTTTGGTTTTTTTTTTTTCTTTTTTTGTTATTCACTTCCACTTTGCTGATTTCCTTTTTTTTCTTCAGCTCAAGTTAGTTTTGCCGAAATGATGAAATTAGTATCAGGAATAACTTTTGGGTTTCAAGTATAGTTAATTTTTTTTTTTTTTTTTGCTAGAGCAAAATTCATAGAGGTTTTTTTTTGCTAATATGCATAAATTTGAAGAATTTATAATGTAATGTAATAATGTTGTAATAGTAAAAGTTAAAAATATTAATAAAATTATTGATTCTGAGTGGGGTGCCATGGTGACAAGCCAGCATAAATTAACGTATTTTTTTTTAATTAATTAATTTTTTTTTAATAAAAGTTGGTCGGTCATATAACTGATTTTGATTGGTTATTCACAAAAGTCATGTGATCACAGCATAGATCAAAGATTGATTGGCCATGTAATCCAAAAAATCTCACCTACATCCTGTATCGTTTTAAAACAACCTTTTAAATTCTAACAAAAAAAATTCCTTGCAAAATTTTGGTATAGAGTATAACCTGCCTTAATCTTAATTGCACCCTTACCCTAACTTGAAATAATGCTTAATTTTTCATTTTATAAAAATTGTTTTGATTTACATATTACACAGATTTTTAAATTAATACCTGTATATTATACACTATGTATACTCTTAGTAATTTTTTAAATTTTTAATAAAAAATGGTTAATACATCTTAAACTTCTAAAATCTAAATTTTCAAATTAATATTTTAAAAACTTATTAAACAGAATATTTGTTTAAAAGTAAAAAATTTATTCTTTTTTGTCAAAATAAAATTTTAAAAACAATTTACTTAAAAGATATTTCAAGTTTTTAAAACTTTAAATGATGATATTTCAATAACCACTAAATGATTTTTTTTTATTTAAATCCACAGCTTTGTAAAATTAAAATAAAAAAAAATTCATTAAATTTAGCTTAGTTTAAAGTTGAAAAAAAATTTTCTATTTTGATAGATATATTAAGTTTTTTAAAACTTTGAATAAAGATATCTCAACAACCACCAAGCCAAATTTGATAAATTTTATTTGAATTCTACAGCTTTGTAGTTAAAATAAAAAAAATTTCATCGAATTTGACTTGATAATTATCAAAATATCTTTATTCAAAGTCAATGTTTATCAAAATAAAAGCTTCGCCAAAATTTATCTTCAACTTTGAGCAAAGATATTTTTCTATAAAAGTTCTATGCTAACACTAACTTAAAGTTTTTATTTTTCTTAAAAATATCGTATGACGATAATCGATAAAATTAGCCAATCAAGTCGAATGCATATTGCGTGATGCGACGTATAATTTATCCTTAACTGCAGAATTAAAAAAAAAAGGTTAAATTGCAAATCATGAAATGAGTGCTGCAGAGCGAAAAGCTGGAAGTGAATATTCAAGTTTTCACTATGGCGAGTTTAGCCCCTGATGAATTATAACATTACGTATTGATAATCAGTGTTCTTGTAATAAAAATCGATTAATAAATAGAGCCGATGAGCCTAATTTGTAAAGGTGATACATACTATCGAAACGACTAGAAAACTGATCGTACGCATGATTAATTACGTAACATCAGAATTCATCGGGTTAAACTCGCCATAGTGAAAACTTAAATATTCACTTCCAGCTTTTCGCTCTGCAGCACTCAAATAAGAAATCAGATTTGAAGCACTATAAGCAGACTGAGTTAAAACTAATTAGAATCACGTGGTCAAATATCTGCACCTGTATGAATAACGATACGTACTAGGAACCTTCGCAAGGAATTATAATATATTAGGTTCTAATACCTTAGTTCCTTTTTTTTGCGTGTATAAATCTACTCTAAATATATTTATATAAAAACAATAATACAGTTCAACTACATAACAATTACATAAGTAATAAATCCATAAATCCATAAAATCACAAAATTGAAACACTCGCCAGAATTACGTTTTGGTTATATGTCGACATATCAAATATTACAGAAACATAGGAAGCAGTTGAAGCGTAAACAATTCGCTGTTAAATTAGAACCATTTAAATTGTGCGGTTCTTTATATATAAAAAGTAAATAAATTGATCTCTAATACATAAAAAAAATTAAAAAAAAAACCCAAAAACTATAAAAATATTGCAATGCAAACAAGTTTACAAAGAAAACCGACCCTTTTTTAGTCTTCTTCACTCTCACTATCGACGGTTTTAAGCCATTGTACAAAAGGCTCCATTTGTTTCAAAAATACCGTCTTGCCGCTATTTACAGCACCTTTTTCAAACCAATATAAAATAGCACTTTCTGAGACAACGTCTTCATTATACAGAATTTGTACAATTTGACGAAAATGTTTCATCAATTTTGTATCTTCGTAACAATACGTTTGAACCTTTTGTATGAGTGCAAGTTCTGTCTTCGGATTGGTAGCAAATGCACCGAGAATAGTGGAACATTGCTAAAAAAAGGAAACGCAATTATTTTGTCAATAACGGACAGTATTTGTATCATCAACTATTTAAATATTACTTACTTTAACTTGACGCAAAGCTTGTGATTCAATTTGTTCTGCACGAGAACCCCAGTCAACAGCTTGCATCATTGATTCCCAAACGACCTTCACAAAGTCTGATTCCTGCCAACCATCCTTCATCTGATGTTTGAGGTAAGTAATAACCTAGAAATTAAATAGTGAATATAGAATTAATAAACTACATAAATTTAGTTTAATGATTATTTTGTATAAAACAAAGAAAAATTACCTCTGTGGGGGTGTTTTCGGCTTTTAACATCTCTTTAACATGATCAATGGTTTGTTCTTTCATTGAATTTTTTTGTTTTTGATTATGATACTCAACAAGCTGCTTCATATCCTCAGCTTCAAAATAACGAGCAAAATATTCTTCATCACGTTTGTTAGGAGGGAAGAATTCCATAAGTTTGTTGTCCATTCCCGCTTTTTTGAGAGAACTACCTAAATGATCAATATTCTGTTCGCTAAGATAAGCCTTGAACACCGCCGTAACAAACTGGAGTGAGAGGCCTTTATGTAAAGAAAAAAGTATTACATGTTATAACAAAATTCATTGCAACAAATACGAAAAAAAATTATACCTTCATACCTTCTTTGACAAGATGTTCCTTGAACAAAACAGTCAAAACATTAATGTTGATCAGTTGGCCAGAAACAAACAAGCCAATAGCTGTTGCAAGTTTGTTATTCTCTTCAGTGCTCCATTTGTTAATGTATTGAAGTAAATTCTTGATTGTTTCCTCAAAGCTTCGCAGCAAAAACTTGTAGCGCCTGCCGATTAGCTTATTAAAAACATCAACATGCTTTTTGATACTTTCAATATTATCTTCTGCTGTGAAAATTGAAAATGGGCTGCGTTTTGCACCATCGTCAAGAATAGTACCGCCGGGTGCTAATTATTAATTAATGATTATTAGTATAAACATCTAACAATACGGTCGTAAGTATCAATTTTAAGAATTTTACGAACCTAATACACCACCGGTAAGAAGAATTTCAAATAAAGTTTCACCGTATTTTCTATATTCAAGCGTATTACCAGCGCTGTCCAGTCGTTGATAAATATCGTCAAAGTCACCAGGTTGAGCGTTATAAAGTGTTTTTAAAATACCTTCTCTAAAAACTGAGATGATTAAATTTTTAGGAAATTATTTCACTATAAACAGATCAATCACAAGACAAACTGAGCTAGACTTTTTACCAGTAGGTTCGTACTTTGCCTGAGCTTTTTGCAGGCTCTTATAGAAACAGAAAAAAGAGTTAACATCTAGATGAAATATAATTTTTAATCAACAAATAAAGCTGATGACAAACTTTTCTTGTTTTGATTTTAACACCATGCAAAGCAGGTAAACTTTTCGAGCTGCCGTTATGTGTCGCACTCAAATTTAAATACATAGAAGATATACATAATAAAAACTAAGCCGAATATATTTTTATTATAAATTGAGCCACAACTATTACAAATTAAAGTTGCCAGATAAAGTTAAAATTTCGCAAGGAAATCATTTTGTTAGTGCGCAGAAGGCAATTTAATAGATAAAACGTGAACTATAATGAATTTTTTAGTTTGTTTTGACTTTGTGTTTTTTTTGCGTAGCACCTAATTTTGAAATCGATTTGGCCCAGGAAATTTTTTAGAGTAGTGATACAAGAATAGTTCTCCCTAATACTTCGGATGATTCGGTTAATCCGTTTCAGATATCCGACATAAATGGATAGATATCCGGTTATATTAATGTGGGTAAATGGATAACGGATTTATCCGGATTGAAACTCTAATTGTTGGCAGTACTTCATTTAAACATTTCACCCTAAATATCCATTTATCATTCATTTTACTATCTAAACAATTGTTACCTTTTACCCCTTCTATATATTTTCAGATTTCTCTCCAATCTAAGCTATCCTCTCTTTCCTCTCCTACCCATCTTTTCATTCTACTTAATCCTGCCTATTCTGCATCTAAAATCGCTGTTGTAATCCAATTTACAAAACTTCTAATAGGCTTATCCACTATTAACCCTTTCCACCTTGGTACAACATATATTAGCTTGGTCTATGGTAGCCAAACTTCAATGATCTTGTTTGATCTTGCGCCTTCTTTTGCTAACTTATCTGCCTCTTCATTCCCTTCTATTCCGCTGTGTCCTTTCACTTTGTGCAGTTCAACCTTTAATCATTTTCTTTTTCTTATATGATCTATTTGTCTTAAAATACTTCCATTTTTCATTTTGAGATAATTGCATATTTTCATTATTTCCGCCATTTTTTGAACTGCTTGAATTGCTGCTTGACTGTCTGTATATATCTTTATAGATGTTCCTTCTGGCAAGACTAACAGCATAGTCAAGATTACATCTAGCTATGCTCTTGTTGATGAGGGCCAGCCTTTCATAGCGCAGTTAAACTCTGCTACCTTCTTTAATAATCTTTCTTCTTGCATTTGTAGGGTTCAACTTACTCCCATCTTGGTTTTGCTTGCTGTTTCTTGTAGCTCTAGTAGTGAACCATCAGTATATGCTTCAAATATTTTGTACTTTATAATGTTTTCTGAAATTGCTATTAGCTCTGCTACTGCTTCTACTCCGTCTATACAGCTTCGTGTTATTTCTTCAATAATTGACCCTATTCTTATTTCTGTTACTTGTCTTTCTGCTCTTCTTTTTGCTTCTATTACTGCTTGAGATTCTCTTACTTTCGCTAAGTTCTCCCATGGCACTGTTATTTTGTACCTTGTTTGGCCATTATTATTACTCTTTTTGATCCAACTACTGTCTAGAGCTCTTCTAATTTCTTTGAACTGCTTATTGTTTCAAAAAAAAATATATATTAAATGATAAAAATTTAATAATTTGATATTAATAAATAAACTTATTATATGCAATATATCAATATATCATATAATCATTAATTGAATAAACAAAAATAAATCAAGTAATCTTATATGATATTTGATTGCAACAGCTGCTTGATATTTACAAGGAGAGCAGCAGAATATGTGCATGTTTTTATAAACGGATCAATTATATAAAATTGATTAGAATTTGTTGAACTAGATACAATATAAATATTATTAATATTATCAAGTTTAATTTCTTGTTGATTTACTAACTCCTATTCAGAGCAAACAATTGTTTTGATAATTTTAAATAGCCTGGTTGCTGATTTGCAATAGCTAATAATCGTTGTTGTAGCTGATGCTGAAATTCAGATCTATTTTGATATGAATTTTTTAAAATTTTTTTAGGTAATTTTTTTTCAATTTTTTTTTATAGTTAAGTTAGTGTTTAGGGTTAGAATTGATAATTAACAAGTATATGTAGATTTTAGCAGACCTTAGATTTTTAAATCGAGACCCCAAATTTCAGCTTCAGCCATTTTCAGCATCAGCTGTGACAATCGTTTTTTATAAAAATGATCCATGCTAGTTATGATAAATTGAAAGATTTGCACTGCATTATAAGCTTGAGTATAGGCAAAAATTATATCCTTTATGAATCTAAAGCTTCATTCTATATAATTATTTGTGTGATTTCTCTATAATAACAAGTTTTGCAGATATGATAATGCCCAAGAATTTTGCTGCTCCTACATATGTATATAATGCACTGCAAATTGATTATACTTACTAAAATATTTGTTTTTAAATTCAAGAAACCTATTTTCTAATTCTAAAATAGAAGATGTATATAAAATAGCTTTAAATAACTGTATAATTGATATACAATCATCTTTGTGAATTCCATGTTTTGACTCATATAACCAGTGCCAAAATGCTTGTAACACATAGAAAATATATAATAATTTAATACTAAATGGTTAACAAAGATTAAAAGCATTATGCTCAGCATATAAATCATCAATAATAAAGACTTCAGAACCAAGATTTATTCCACAATTATAGAATGCATTGCTAGGTAATATCATTTTAAGTAAATTAATAGCATTTTCAATTATAACTTTAGCTTCGTCTGAAGTTAAAAATAATTCTAATAATAAAACTTCAGCAGTACAACTAGTATATAGAAGAGAAATAGATATGTTAAGCAGATCAAAAAATGTAAAAGCATCAAAATAATCAAGCTTACCAGCTTGATGTATTTTTTCATATACTCTCTTCATTAAGTTTGTCACAATATAAAGTATAAATAGAGTATTTGTAGAAGAATTATATACTTGTAAAATTGCTCTTC